ACCCATGGCACAAAGATAGGAGCAGCAGCAGGTGTGTAGTCTTCCTGTGCCTGTCACATTCTGGAGCAGCATACGGGCATCTAGCATGGCTAGATATTTGACTCTGGGAGAGCCCCAGCCTTGGAATTGTGGGTTTTAAGCCACACAATTAAGGCAGGCACTCTTCCCTCCCCCTGGAATGCTTAGGCACAGGTATCCAACAACAGTGTGAACTGTTGACAAAGTAGCCTTGTTCCACAGCCTCATCATGCCCTGGCCAGGAGAGCATCCTCCTCTCCTTGCACTTGGGTTCTATGTCTTGAGTTGTATGACATCAATCCCTTTTGGCTTTGCTTCTTTACTTCAGCACTAACCAGGGACTGTATAAAGTTCCTGTGCAGCAGGTTTCAGTACCTAATAACCTCTGCTCTGCAGAAGGCCAACTTTCTTTTAGGGATGGCAGATTGCAGGGAATTTGCCTAAGACATATACTTTCTCATTGTCTCCTCAAGTTCTTCATATTCCATGTAGAGACCAGCGGGCAAGAGATGTTTTTAAGAGAAGAGAATAGAGAGCATTTTTACATTGAAACAAAGATCTCAAAGTGAAGTCTACCATCTCAGAATGATTGGATTTTATTTATTTATTTATTTGTAATGGAGTCCTTTTATATAAGACCTAAAGACATCTGGCAGAAAATACTTCAGAGATGGTGACCTTCAATTTTGTGGAATAGATATAAAGGAAGTATCAATATGTTTAATTTCTTACAAGTGAGATTGCCACTTTCAAAGAGCTTGCGTGTCTAGCCTAGTAGAACAGAATACTGTGTAAGGAAGAGACAGAGAAAAAGTTGGCAAGGAAAGTTAAGAGAAAAAGATTCAACTTTGTGAAATAAGACATGGGAGATTTCAGGCTAGCAAGGTGACCCAGTGGTTAAGGTACTGGATTCTCACATGACTGACCGCAGTTTAAGTCCTGGGCCTGGTAGCTTGGGAATCATGCCAAGCACATGTGCATGCGTGCCCAAAATCCTGAGAGGAGAATGGAAGAAAAACTACTGTAGTGTGGCCATCCCCCCTGGGGTTGAGGGTGATTCTCGCTTTCCCTTTCTGTCTCTGTCTCTCTCTGGTGAGCACCTCTGGTAAAAATCTGAGGGGAAAAAAAAGTGTGAAGATGTAATCTGACTATGGGATTAAGAAGTGGAGCCTTTAGGAGGTGATTAGGATTTGATAAGGTCATTAGGGTGAATCCTCCATTGTTGAGTACTGGTGACTTTTTAAAAAAAGGAAAGAGACCAGAGACATAGAACACACATGCTCTGGTCTCTTATCACATGATGCCCTGCACCACCTCAGGACTCAGCAGATAATCCCATCAGCAAGAAGACCCTTACTAGGTGCTGCCTCTTGACCTTTGGCCACCAAAACGTTGAGCTAAATTAACCTCTATTCTTTATAAATTATCTACTGTGGTATTTAGCTGTTAGCATAGAAAATAGACTAAAACAAAATCTCAGCAAGCTTTTAATAGAAAATGACAAGCTGATTTTACATGGAAATGTAAAAGACCAAGGATAGCTAAAGAAGCTTTGAAAAAGAACAACAAAATTGGAAGAATACCAGTACCTGATTCCAAGGCTTTTATAAAGCTACAGAATTCAAGAAAGTGTGGTGTTGGCCTCAAGATAGATCAATAGAATCTATCAAATAGATCCATGGAGCCAAAGAGCGAGTGCAGGAATGGGACCAGCAGTTAGCGTAATGGCTATATCACTGGACTCCCACATAGTCGACCGCGGTTTGCATCCTGGACCCAGTGGCTTAAAACTCACGCCGGGCATGTGTGTGTGCGTGCCCAAGAACCCAAGAGGAGAATGAGGAGAAGAGATTGTAATGTGACCATCCCCCCTGGGGTGATTTCTCGCTTTCTATCTCTATGTCTCTCTAGCTGTTGAGCGCACGCACCCTATAGCAAAGACCTCTCCAAAAAAAAGAAGAAAAAAAAAAAAAGAAAAGCCAGTGCAGGAATAGACCCAGACATTTATGGGCCACTGACTTTTTATAGACATGTAAAGTTAATTCAATGAAAATACAGTATTTCAAAAAGTAATGCTGTAATAATTAGATATCCATATGTGAAATTTGATTCATACATCACACCATACACTAAAATGAACTAAAAAATGGATCATATATCAATTTAAAATCTAACTATGAAAATTTTAGGAAAAAAAGTACGAAAAAAATCTTTTAGACCTAGGATTAGGTAAGGAATACCTCAGATATAACTCCAAGCATCATCCATAAAAACACAAACTGATAAACTGACCTTCATCAAAAATATTTTCTTTGCACTTCAAAAGACATTGCTAGGGAAATCAAAAGACCCTGCTAAGAGAATGAAAAGACAAGTCAAATATTGAGAGGCTGTTTTCCTTGGGTACTCATGTTTCTAAATGTGTTCTGAGAAGTACATGAGCTGCTTGTGTTCTGGACCATCTTTTTAAAGTATTTATGTATTAAGAAACCTTGGAAGACAAGAAATAATGGCTCCCTCTGGAACAAAGGGCACTATTTTTTTCTGACCAGTAAAATAATAACATCCTTCCTGGGGTATAGATGGGTAGGTGTACTAGCAGTCCTCTTTAAGTGATTTGGGTTGCATAAGTGTGAGGTTTCTCAGCTGTGACCTAACCACTCCATGTGTGGCACTTATGTGAGCCTCTCCATATACCCTTAAGGGTCTGGGGAAGATGCTGGGCAAGAGAAATAGATAAAAATGGGAGGCTCGCACTGCTTCCTCTGCTGTAATAAGGTCTGTTTTCTCTAACACAGGAACCTTCTGTCTCTTGCCAGTCTCTCTGAAACTATGGCAGACTCACGTGTGAATTTGCCACAGGGTAACACATCAGACCCTCCACGGTTCTTTGGACACCACAGACTGGGAGAAAATATTTCTTTTTGTTTGTTTTTTTGAGAGGTTTTTTTTGTTGTTGTTGTTGTTTGTTTGTTTGTTTGTTTGTTTTTGCTATAGGGCATGTGCACTCACCAGACAGAGAGAGACATAGAGACAGAAAGTGAGAAATCACCCCCCGGGGGGATGGTCACGCCGCAGTCCCTTCTCCTCCATTCTCCTCTCGGGATCTTGGGCACACACGCACACGCGCCTGGCGTGGGTTTTAAGCCACTGGGTCTGGGACGCGAACCATGGTTGACTACGTGGGAGTCCAGCGACATAGCCATTACGCTAACTGCTGGTTCCCTGGGAGAAATTTATGTATTAAGAAACCTTGGAAGACAAGAAATAATGGCTCCCTCTGGAACAAAGGGCACTATTTTTTTCTGACCAGTAAAATAATAACATCCTTCCTGGGGTATAGATGGGTAGGTGTACTAGCAGTCCTCTTTAAGTGATTTGGGTTGCATAAGTGTGAGGTTTCTCAGCTGTGACCTAACCACTCCATGTGTGGCACTTATGTGAGCCTCTCCATATACCCTTAAGGGTCTGGGGAAGATGCTGGGCAAGAGAAATAGATAAAAATGGGAGGCTCGCACTGCTTCCTCTGCTGTAATAAGGTCTGTTTTCTCTAACACAGGAACCTTCTGTCTCTTGCCAGTCTCTCTGAAACTATGGCAGACTCACGTGTGAATTTGCCACAGGGTAACACATCAGACCCTCCACGGTTCTTTGGACACCACAGACTGGGAGAAAATATTTCTTTTTGTTTGTTTTTTTGAGAGGTTTTTTTTGTTGTTGTTGTTGTTTGTTTGTTTGTTTGTTTGTTTTTGCTATAGGGCATGTGCACTCACCAGACAGAGAGAGACATAGAGACAGAAAGTGAGAAATCACCCCCCGGGGGGATGGTCACGCCGCAGTCCCTTCTCCTCCATTCTCCTCTCGGGATCTTGGGCACACACGCACACGCGCCTGGCGTGGGTTTTAAGCCACTGGGTCTGGGACGCGAACCATGGTTGACTACGTGGGAGTCCAGCGACATAGCCATTACGCTAACTGCTGGTTCCCTGGGAGAAAATATTTCTAAATAATATATCTTTTAAAGGGCTTGTATCCAAAAGATATAAAATACTCTTACATCTCAAGATGTTGAAAGTGTATGTGTGTAACACTTAACTTTCAACATTAATAATGTTGGATGGATATTTGCCTAATGTCTTTTTTTCCCTTCATAATTCCAAACTTCACTGAAGGAACCTTCCAGTCTTGATCACCACAGAATTCCCAGTGCATAGCACAGCATGTCATTTCATTTCTATTTTAACCAACAAATGCCTGCTATTTGAATTAGGAATCTATTTTCTTACAATTATACTTAATGTTTATACAGTTTAAAAATGTTATTAAAGTTTGTTTCTTTCATAAGCAAGAGAGGCAAAGTGAGAGGGGGAAAGAGAGACAGTCCCAATGGGATTCTGACACTACCATCCACCCCCATTCTTGAGCCATCCACAGATCATGGACACATGGCATTCTCAGAGAGATCTCTGAGTTTAAACTGGGAACTCCCCCATGTGGAATTGCCTCATAGAAAATCATATTTTACTGCTGCACCACTGTCCAGCCCCTAAAATTTGTCTGAGTTTATTTATTTTATTCATGATAGTGTGTGTACATGTACAAGAAAGAGAGGACAAATGAGAGAGAGAGAGACCCTCTTGAAAGGGTCTTGTTATGGGACCAGCAGATGGCATAGTGGCTATGTCACTGGACTCCCATGTAGTCAACCACGGTTCGAGTCCCGGACCTGGTGGCTTAAACTCACACTGGGCATGTGTGCATGCGTGTCCAAGGTCCCGAGAGGAGATTGGAGGAGAAGGGATCATGACATGGCTATACCCCCTTGGAGAATGATTTCTTGCTTTCTGTCTCTCTGTCTCTCTGTCTCTCTCTGTCTTTCTGGCGAGCACACATGTCCTATAGCAAAAACCTTTAAAAAAAAAAAAAAAAAAGAAAAGAAAGGGTCTTGTCATGCTGCAATCTTCTTTCTTTGTCTCTTCCAGATCATCAGGATCTTGGATACACATATGTTCCAGCATGTTTTCAAGCTGACCCAGGTATCCAAATCCTTGGTCGCTCATGTGGCTTCCAACATTGCAGGTCAGTTTGCTACCAACTGTGACAGCAGGCTGAGCCATGATTGTGCAGTTTAAACTTGATTGTATCTGCTATTATAAATAATTCTAAATGACTTTTCTATAACTTTTTTTCTGTGCATTTATCTTATTTCTCCCATATACATATATTCTTTACACATCTTTCTAGAAGCTAAATTTTGGAACCAATACATTGCAAAATTTTAAGTTTTTGAACACGTTGAACTCTACTGGGACAGCGTGAACCAATTTCTAATTCCTTTAGTACCCCTGGATCAAATTGCTAGATGCCAATTAGCTGAAAAAGGTGTAAAAACATCTAATATTAAAACTAGGATGTTTGCCATGTTACTGGCATAAAAATTAATATTTCAAAAATTTCGAAATAATCCGGCAAATTGATTACTCAACAAATGATATTTGGAATTTTTTTGTAGCAATAGTCATATTCACTATAGATACACATTAGGCAAATAAATATTTTATACACCAGTGATCATTTTTAAGTTGAACTTGGAATATGAGTTGCCAATACTATCTATGTACTATGTTAACATATTATATCCCTCTCATTTTAATTGTAGCCCATTACATACATGCAAATTCTCGGAACACGGCATTGGGTGTAATTCGTAGGGAAAATGTACTTTAAATTCACCATGAAAAAATAATGGAATGAAGAACCTCGTAACCTAAAAACAAAGCAAAACAAAAAGTAGCCTGAGTCCAGGGCCAGCTGGTGGTATCATGGTTAAAGTGGCTGATTCTCACATGTTCAACTGTATGGTTTGAGTCTTGGACCCGGCAGCTTGAAAAGTGCACTAGACATGTGTGCCTGAAATCCTGAGAGAATGGAGGAGACGAGATTGTGGCATGGTCATCTTCCCTGAGAGCGGGAGTGCTTTCTCACTTTCCTGCTCTATCTAGTTGGTCCAGAGCTTGAGGTCTGAAAATCTCAAATCCACTCAATAGTTTTCTGAAGTCCAGGAAGCAATGAACTTATGCAATTATTTGAAAGGCAGCTAGATATTTTACTTTAAACCAACTTTAGTTTTACTACATTTGTTTTTTAAGAGAGATTTTTGCTATAGGGTGCGTGCACTCATCAGAGAGACAGAGAGACACAAAGGGAGAAATCACCCCCCCCGGGGGGATGGCCACACCACAATCCCTTCTCCTCTATTCTCCTCTTGCAATTTGTGGCCACGCATGTGCACGTGCCCAGCATGAGTTTTAAGTTGCTGGGTCTGGGACTCAAACCACAGTTAACTACATGGGAGTCCAGTAATGAAACCATTAAGCCATCTGCTGGTCCCACTTTTAACACATTTTAGAAAATGATGTCTTGAACCAGAAATAGCAGTGAATTGTTCAAGCTTTAATAGTGACAAATTACTACTGTTAACCTTATTTCTCATTTTATCTCATTACAAAGGATGTATTTGTTGAATTTTATTTAACAAATTAATAATAAAATAGTCTTTAAAAAAGTAAATCTCCAGGCATCTGATAAGCTACAAATAGAAGATACAATCTATAACCAGATCATCTCAGAAAAATTGTAATGAGAAAATTTGGAAAGTCTCCAAAATTTACAAGCTGTCCTTATTCTGCAGTAATGTTTCTTAATGGTCTAGAGTGCCAGTGTTTTTCCACTTTGCCCAAATGGCTATTCAGATGATTAATGTCAGCAGGCTCCATGCATTAGAGTATTAGCCCTGTGATCTTTGGAATACAGAGACCTCAGTGTGACACTTGGCAGCAAACCAAGACCACAGAAGGTGTCTAGGGGAAACCCAGAGAAACCCCATTATGAGCAGGAAGTCACCATGTTTATATGGCAGAGCAGGGTGGTTTGCTCACCGGATAGATAGGCTATTGCTATAACATGCCCAGTCCCAGGCAATTAGACTTAGAATGCCATATGGCCATCCTGCATGATTGGCAGAATCAAAAATGTCACACAGCTTAGGACTAGTGAAACAGCAACAGTAATGCGCAAAATGCTTTGGCTAAGCAGTGTCATGCAAAGGAAGAGAGCCTAAGAGGGGTCACTCCCAGAGCTTGTCCATCCCACTCCTCTGGCTGACCCTATTCTTCCTGGTCCTCAATTAGTGAGCCTAACTGAAGAGCCATACTCACTGTTTCTGTCCTCATCTCCACTCCCACCACTCTACTTCCAGCTTTTGCTGAACCCTATTCTAATTTGTGGCATTAACACGTTTCTGTATCTTATTAGAGACCCAGTTCTTGGCAATGGCCTAGAAGTCCACTGCTCCTAACATCTAGTTTCACACACTGGCTTCTGGGAGGATATATCTTTGTAGGGGCATAAAGGTGTAATACCTTTCTCTCACCCATTTCAAAGCCCACAGCTGACACTCCTATGACAAAAGAGAGATTAGCAAAAGAAAAACATAACATATATTTAATCAAAGTTTTATGTGACACTAGACCATTTAGAGATGAAAATCCTCAGAATAAACTATTGATGAAGCAAAGGAAGCTATGAGATACGCGATTGGGCAAAAAGTTATGATTTCGTGGTGACAGCCTGAGTGGAGAACCCAGCAAGGCCTGTTTGCTCAGGTTCTTAACCTCTCTGTATAGCACCCCATCCTCTGGGTAAAGACTCTTGTCAGGTGGGGCTCTTCAAAGGATGTTTTAATCCACTTTGTGCTGCTATAGCAGAATAGCTAAAATGAGGTAATTTATAATGAACAGTCTGGAGGCTAGGAAATCCAAAATCGAGAGGCCAGCATCTGGTGAAGAACATCTGCTGTGTCATCCCCTGGCAGAAGGGCAAAGGGAAGGCTAGAGAAAAAGAAAAGGAGGCTGAACTCACCCTTTATAATGAACTCTGTCCTATAGAACAACATTAACCTATTCATAGGAGCAATGACCCCGATGATCTGAACGCCTCTCACTTCCCAGCTCCACCACATTGGGATCAGGTTTCTAATAGGCGGCAAGTTCAAACCACAGCAGAGGAGAAGTGAGAGGTCAGAGACTGACATTTGTAAGGTTTTATGTCTTGCTTTAAGTAAGAGTTCTAGTTTTTAATGACCTGCTTTAGGGGGGGAATCAGGGGAAGAGAGAGAAGGGTGGGAAAGGTCAGAGAGAACCTCTTGCTTTGGAAGCCCTCTTCCTCCTTCAGTTCAGAGTGCCCAGCACGAGAAGGTGCCATACTGTGGAGAATTGTGTTCTGAGCATCTACATCTGCATGTCACGTTCTGCTAGTAGAACCTAGAATGCTATGACATGTCACCATCAACCAGCTGCTTTTCCATGGGTGATAGAATTAGGGCTAATCCAAAATGGATTACCATTAGAAACTGGAAATATAAAACCTTTCTCACAAAATAATAAAATCTTACACAAGTACATAAAGTAAAAAGTCAAAGCTGTTCCTCTCAATCTAATTTTACCTCACCAAGGTAACTGCTATTAAGAGATTGGTGTGTATCCTGACAGTTTTTAATGAGAATTTATAATTACTGCAGAATGAAATTTATATATTGAATTGTCGGGAAAGTCATGACATATTTTTTGCGTAGATAAATATGTAATGACTTTTTTGACAACCTAATATAATTCACATAGGCTCACATATGTGTTTTTGTATCAAAACTAATCAGTCAGACATGTAAATCCAAATCGTATATTCTTTTTTGTTTTTGGAGAGGTTTTTGCTATAGGGCACATGCGATTGCCAGACAGATAGAGAGAGACAGAGAGACAGAAAGCGAGAAATCACCCCCTGGGGGGATGGCCACGCCACAATCCCTTCTCCTCCATTCTCCTCTTGGGATCTTGGGCACACACGCACACATGCCCGGCGTGAGTTTTAAGCCACCGGGTCCGGGACATGAACCATGGTCGACTATGGGGGAGTCCAGCGACATAGCCATTACACCAACTGCTGGTCCCCACATCGTATATTCTTTATAATTATATATTCATATCATTTTAAGAATGCGCCTTAATACTATAATTCACTTCTCATTTCTCAATATTTCGATGTTTTAAAGTTTTTATTTTTTACTACCATGAACACTGCAATTACATCTGTACCTTTAGCTATATAATCTTTGTACTCATGTATTACATTTATGTAGGAGAACTATATTACCAGGTATTTCAGTCTTTCCCATTGGTAATAACAGGAAACTGGGTGATTTATAAAAATAGGGTTCTTTCAGTTCATGAGGTCCAAGGACCAGGTGTCACCTCTGGTGACAGCATGGCAGAAGGCCAGAGAGCATGGTCTGTATTCCATAGGTGATTCCTGGCCCTCTTTTTAAAAGTCTACCAGAGTTCAGTCTTGGGGACCCTGCCCTAAGTACCTTAATCCTAATCTTTCCCCAAAGACCCTACTGTTTGATTCCATAATTGAATCAAACTTTCACCCTCTTAGTCCTGTTATAATGGCTCAATACATGAATTTTGAGAGGATATACTCAAACCTTAGCACCATATAATGACTACATAATATGGTATATACGTTTTATTTTTTCACATTGTTCTATCATTTTATTCTCCATTTGTAGTGTGTATGTATGCACATTTCCTACACTTTTCCATACTTAAAAAAATTTGTCAACAGGGCTAGCAGGTGGCATGGTGATTAAGGCACTGGACTCCTATATGGCTGACCACGGTTCAAGCCTCAGACCTGTTGGCTTGCTTTCTCACTTCCCCTCTCACTCTGTTTCTCTCTGGTGAGTGCATATGTCCTACAGCAAAGTAAAAAATATTATAATAATAAATAATACTAATTACATTGTATAAAAATATTTGTCAATTGGATAGACAAAATGATGTATCTAAGATACTGAATCATTTCCTCCCTCCTCCCCCCAAAGATATCTCAAAGTTCTAACCCATAGTGCTTATTTGTGACATTACTTAGAATAGAGTGTTTATAGATGAAATCAAGCTAAGATGAGGCAGTTAGGGTGAGACATTCCCCAATGTGGCTGGTGTTGTTATAGAAAGAGGGAA